ATCTTATCTATCGAAAACGTGATTGTTACTCAGATTGGCCTGTGCAAGCTTGATTATCGTATAAGAAAAAGAAACCGAAGTAATAAGCATTACTATCAAAGGGCGCTTCGTTCCATTTACACCCCCGGCGTCATTGCTTCTAAAGCCGGCCCTGGTGGAACCTAAGATGATCCTGCCATATTTGAAGTAATGCATCTCCCCTTTTTTTCTGGATTCTGCCTTCGCTTTCGTCCTTTAATTTCTTGTAGTCTAAATTTTTTTCATGGTTTTGAGAATGGTCTTCAGAATGTATTAATCAGCGGATATATTTTCAAGGGCTTGCATAATTTGGCTCTAGCTATTTATATGAAAAATGCGGTAATTTTTGTTAGACTTGTTCAATCAAATATCTTTCCTTAAATTTAACAATAAATGCCCATACATGTTTTTGTCGCTGTGGCTCTATTGTAAAATGTTAAAAAAAAATTTGTGCTTAATATACTGAAATGTATTAAATAAACTATATTCAAAAACGAGAAACTAAATAAGACGGCAAAGTCTACTCTTCATCTTTTGATCAAATTTTATGTTTGGCGCATCTTTCAACTTATGTACATACATTTATTTTGTATGTATAATTACTTATTTACATATGCACCTACATATGTAACTATATTCATTTTCTTTAATGGCCTCTAGAATTGCTTCTTTCACTGTGTGATGATAAATTTTGCTTAGATAGTAATGAGAGCTCCATTAAGTTTTGTGCACCTTCTGTGTTCTTTTTATTTTCATCTGCAAAGTGATTTTTAATAATTTTCTCGAAACTCAACTTCTGAAATAATAATTTGCGAAAGTTTCTTTCTATTTTGCTTATCACTCGCAGAGTGCTCACTAATGAACTCTACAGTTATTTGGCAGCCTTCCAAGAAGTATTTGCCGCCCAACTCCCCCCTACCTGCCACTTGACTGCCTTTGTGTGTAGGTGTGCCATCTCGCTATTGTCTGCCGCAATTAAAAAAACTACTTTAGCAACACTCAAGCCGAAACGAGTGCTCGTAGTGCTTTGTAGTACATCACCATCGAATTGATGTAGTATTTTCCACTCACTGAATGCCGCCATGTTGTTGTTCTGCATGTGGTCGGAACGCTTCTCGCTTCTCGCTTCTCCATTTTCGCTTTGTCTGTGAACTGCTGTGAACTTCAGTGAACTGCTTGCCTGTCGGGTTCAACGGCTAGAAAGTTTGAAAATTTCATGAAATCACTTAAAGCGCAGTGCATACTGGTTGAACTCCTGCGCCCCAGGAGCAGGGCTTGTTGTTGGTTCTAGGCGCAATTTCCATTTCATTCTGCTTTTGTAGGAGGATTAACTCGAAAATTTCATATCAGCTTTGTTACACTTGCGTGAGTACTGTATCGAGAGGGGTGGTGGGTTGTTGGGTTGTTGGGCGGGCGCCTGCTTTGAATGTTATCAGTGTGCTTCTCTGCTTCGATGCGTTGCGCAATTATTTATTACAATCGTGTGTACACATTCTGCATCTCATCAAAGGGAATGAGAAAGATGGTTATGGAGGTTGAGAGTTTATTTAATCGTTTTTTTTTTTTTTTAATTTAAAAGAAAACAGGTGTTGTACCCATTAATCGATATTAATGATAAAGATGAATGAAAAAAATTTGGAATTAATTCTCTAATCGTCTTCCCTTTCAGCCTACTGAGCTGAGTTTTGGTATCCTGCTGTAAATTATATTAATATATTATATATTAATTATATGTAATATTTCGGGTGAGTTATTTGGCTTGAGAACGTGGAGATTTCTATTTACCACAGTACTAGCTGGATCATCCAATGAAAGAGAAGACATCAATTTTGAAGCTATGTAAAAATAATTTCTTTTTATTTGAGATCGGCGGTGATTATTTATATCAAAAGAGAAGTCATGTGTCGTTGTTTTACCCGAGAGCAGTTCCCCATAAACAGATATTGCCCGTTTGATACTTCCCGGGCGCATTGCGAAAACGTTCCCCAGCTCTCGGGCAGGAAGATATTTCGCACGGCAGCAATCACTTCTTCGCATGCCTACTCTAATTAAATCATAAAATATCTGTACCCGCATAGATAGTTCAATCCTGTGGAAACTACCCGTTTACTAAGCCTACCCTTGGATAAGTTTGAGGAAAATACATAATCTGATTTAGGCAGGGTTTAGTAAGTTACTACGACTTATTACAGTTTGTATGAACTGAATATATTTTTTCTCTAAACCATATTAAATATATAAACGTATACATTACAGAAATGGCTAATTATATAGTAGTGGTAAAAATATACCAGATTTATCAAATTTAACAAACGACTGCTAACTCTGCAATTCTTCATGTACACGATTGGCTAACGGAAACGGGTCTGGAGCCGACACACCAGAAGACTGAGACCGGTTTGGTCAGCATCAGGAAGTTACAAGAACAACTGGCCATAATTAGTGTTAGGCTCACATTTAAAGTGCACTTTAAAGATGAAATCTTATGCTATTCAAGATAGATCACTGAGCCCGAGTTTGTGCTATAAGAGTAAGCTGCGCGTTCCGAAAAACCTCAGAGCAGGAAGCGTTAGTAATAGAAGGTTTGTGTCCTATTCACCTAGAGGCAACAGAAATAGTTGCAGCTACGAATAAGCACGAGAAGGAAAAGGCGAAGCGAAATCGCTTGCAGCAGTGACAAGGCCGCTTGTACCACTTAACTAACTGACGGGCAGAGGGAGGTGAACTTCCATCTAACCCAAATAATAACCGGACGTGGCTGCTTTAAAGCATACTTGCATAGATTTACTCACGAAGACAACCGCGGTAACGGTAGGGTTGATAACCTTCTGGATATCGAGCTTGAGCCAATAGAAATGTGGTCCGTTGTGTAACATATGTCAGGCACTATACTATGAAAGTTCGCACAAGCTGTTATATACATTTATGTATATTTTACAAAACACGTTGATCTTGGGCGTTACTGAATTTGAATTCATTTAGTTTGTTCTCCCATTTTTGTGACAGCTTCTAACGCCTTTCTCCACGCGGAGTCACTTCAATGTTGGCGCTGATATAATGAATGATATAAAATCCAAAGCGAGTTTTTTTGATTTCTGTCTGCCTGACACTCAATTGCTGGATTTTTGGTGCATTGTCTGCTTTAGTGTCATCGTCGCCGGTTTTAATGAAGCGCAGGAAATTACTTTTTCGCTGACAAACTTCACTTGCTTACTTGCCACCATTAACCAAATGGAAAAATAATAGCAACGACCCAAAAGTACAACCACTAACTTCATTTGAGAAAGCAAATACTCCCACACTTTAGATAGCATTCACATTAAAGCCAAACTGTGTCGAAGCATTTGCCTTATTTGTTTGCTGTATTGGCTATTGTAAAGCCATTTTTTGTTTTATAAATGCCAGCTTAATGCAAGTGATTGAAATTTTGTATTTAAGTAACTATTTGTTAACGGTACCATTACTCCATGTGGATTTACTTCAAAGTACATACATTCTGCTAGTTCTGATTCTTTTACTTTTTCCGCGAGCTTCCTCTTTTCGCACTTCAAAGAAGCAAAACTTTTTGCTGCTCCATGTTTTCCCTTTAAGTGGGTGCAGTTGACTGGGAGGAACTTATTGACTTTTTGTATTATTCTGAACAAACAAATTGTACAGCACAGATGGAGAAGCCACGACGAAATAAAAAAACACAATACAACGCTAAAATAGCGAGGCGGATATGGAGTAAATTGCAATGTTAAGGAGTAGAGAAATAATTTTTGTGTGGCATCCTTACTCGGTTTGCGAGGCGAGTGCTTTGTTCTTCTCTATTTTGTTGCTGCAGACAAGTGCAGAAAGTTGCCTGTCTATTGTCTACGCATACATATATACTGGGAAATTCTTTCAAGAGTACTTGTACTCTAAGCAGATTCTAGCTGCTGTTGTTGTCTCGGATTTGCATCAATCACTTGGGGAGCAGGGAGTTAGCGAAATAAAATGCGGCATTGCAACTGAGTGGTTTGCATATCTGAGGCACTCACCCCGTCTGTAGTTGGATTTATGCAAAGACAAAAGTCCTGGCAAGTAGAAAACTTTTTTCATCATAGAGAACTTTTTTTATCAGGTAGAACCTTTAATCAGAAATACTTTGCTTATTTTTGCGAAAAAGAAATTATTACCGTTTAGTATTCTTTATCTGCTACTTTTGCTTCGAAGTGATGGACTTATTCGGCTTTGCTTCCACTTTCCAATTAAACGAAACCAAATGGTTGATGAGCAAATAGAGATAATCTCCGTTTTGCAAAAGAAAACAAACAATTTTGTTGGATAAAATGCAGGACAAATACAATTTAATGGAAAACTGTCCGAATTCGGCGCAAAGAAGATAAGTGAGTATCGAAACGACGTTCTGCATAACCGCAAACAACATCAGCGGGGTATTATAGTTGTAAAACAGCAAAAACAACTAGAGCAATCCTGGCAAAATGATTAATGACACTGCAACGACGTGGCCGGCGAATCTAAGCGGAAGCGAAGAAATACGAAAATCAAGTGACGGCAAGTGGGAACACTTTCGAATGTGTGGAGTGGAGATTTGTTCGACTCTGTGCTGCCGCTATAGCGAAGTATTTCCCAAGCAGCGATGAGCTGTGCGACTGAAGTGGCTTTCATGTGCAACCGCAATTTTATATGCCTTGTGCAAGTCTGCAGTCGCCACTTCTCGCCTGGGTAGGGCACCCGCGTGCAGTCGGTCGACTGAGCGCCGACTGCGAGAGAGCGCGTAAAAATGAAAGGACATGCGCAGCAGTCGGATGGGCGTATAAGAGCTGGGAGCTTTTGCATTCACGTGCAATCGTAGGCAAAACGAGTTCAGTTTGGAGTAGAGAAGAGGGGCGTTGAGGTCGGGCGGCACGACTTTGTTGACACTTGGCGGCACGAGGCATACCGACGCAGCTTGTGCGAAAGTGCAATTGCTCGCAGGACGAAAGCAGCATGCCAGTTTGTGAACAGTGCGCGGGACTATCAGACGTCGGAACTCTAAGCGGTAAAATGTTCGCGTCGAGCGTGGCGGGAAATCGCATGTGAACAAGAAAACAATCGCGTCTCGCTGCAGCCACATAAAACAAGCGCACCGCGTGCTTTGCGTGATCGAGACATTTTGCACGAATATATCGGTGATTCGTAGCGGGAAACGTGCTTTGAAGTTGCCAAACTCGAAACGCCGGAAAACTTTAGCGACAATTCGCATATTTCGCGCTTAGAAAACCCAACCGATTGCTGCCAAAAAAAAAAACACATATCAATACCACCTCAAAAGCAAATCGCATTTATTACACCATAAGCAATTTTTCGCCACTCACAGTTGCTGAGTTTGGCGCTTCAAGCAAACCAAAAAATAAATAAAAAATATTAGAAAAGAGTGAGCGGCGTATTTTCCTCAATTTTTTTGTGCCAGATAATCGCAATACACTCCATCATATTCACTGAGTGTGCGCGCGGGGTTGGGTTGATAGATGGGCTCAATGTGTTGAAATTAAATGTCACTCATACGCCACGGGCGCCGGCTGCTGCGCTGTTATGTATGAAAGCACCCCCCGCCCCCCCACTACAGTGTGTGTTTGTGTGTGTGTAAGTGTGTTTGCACGTCAGAAAGGATTTTGTGCTGTGATACCTTGAGTGGAGCAAAAAGTGAAATAGTAAATGCAACAGCAAACACAACAACAACCAACAGCAGAAGTTGTCGAAACGACAAAATAGAAAAGTGCGATGCCACACAAAAGCGGCAGTGAAAGGAAGCGCAAAAAAATAAAATCAAAATAAACAACCGTACGGCACACGTGTGCCTGTTCGTTCGTTCGTTCGTTCGTTCACGCTAGTGCGGATTGGCGTATGTGTTAGTGTGCGCGTTAGTGTTTTCGCGTGTTCGTGTGCGCTTTTGCGTTTGCGGTGAATTCGCGTCGTCGGTGCAATCGCGTGCTTGAAATCGCACAATTCGATATTTCCGCTTGCTTCTCAACGGAGAAAGCTGTGAGTTTAGCAAAGAAGTAATAGCCATAAAGGATAACACTTGGTAGTGGTCCTTTATTCCCACAGACAGGCGATTGTGTTTCTCCACGCCATTTCGGTAATCGAAACTCGCCCCCGTAAAGACGTAAATAGTGTGCGCCTAGTGTATACGGGTGTATGTATGCAAGTGGACTAACTAAATCGAGCGTAAGTCAAACAAATTGTTGGTATTATTATAATTAGAGCTGATTAAGATCCTGGACGAGAGGATAAGCGGTCGTGATTTCGCTGTGTGACGGAAGTGTTGAAAAGAAAACGCGAAAACAAATAACCGATTGCGTATCTGAAACTCATTTTGACAGCAGGCAAGCATAAGTGCGCAACAAGCGGCGGGGAGAGTAGATGTTTATCGACAATTTTAAGCGGTGGCCGGAAGGGTGATTACACAACTCATTAAATTCGTTTCGGCTGTGAATTGTTTGCACTCGCCACCTGTCGTTGTTGGTTCGCTGCTACTATCTGTCGTGCAGAGGTGGTGGAGTGGTGTAAATACCGTCGACGCGTTAAAGGCTCGCATCGTGTTGACTGTGGTGAAATAATTAATTAATGAGTGAGTGGACATGCTTAATGTGAGCAACGGGTGTTGGAAGTGCCTTTAAAGAGGTAGACAAATTCGCCGGCAGCTAGCGAATGTTTTTTGCCTGAGCCACGCATTAATAATAGGTAAGTTTGTTACTAATTGAATAATTAATAAGCTCCGCTGTGCACTTTGATGAACAGAGACAACTAATTAAAATACTCCATTCCAAAATGAACAACGCAATTGATTTGATTGATTGCGGGGAGTGCTCAGGGTGATAAAATATTTGAATTAATGAAAAAAACACGAAAAATAGTTGAAGGTTATTGGAGTGTTGGACGAGATAATGTCGCGGCGCTTTAAATTTTTCCAATGCAAGAGAATGATAAAGCAATATTTTTAAAATTGATCATTTCGTTTCGACTTGATTTTGTCACTGAACCATAAACCACAATTCTTATTATTATTATTCTTTATTCAATGCATTTTAATGCATTTATTGTGAAAATTTCAAATCTAAATAAAAACCAGTAATTTTCAAGCAAAAATCAAAACCGACTTCAACTTTCATAAAAATATTTAAGACTACCGTTAATTTCTTCATATGGGAGAGCATTTTTTTTTATAGAAATCGGCAAACGTGTGCCAAAGTAATGCAGTAACATACAAAAAAAAATATTCCGACGAATTGATAAACTAATTTTTTTTGAAGTCGGTTAATAGAGAGCCCTAACGGCCAAAATGATTTAAGCGATTTTTTTTTTTAATTTTCTTTTTCATGCAGAAATCTAGATGCATTTCTGCATCAAAAATAAAATTTTGAAAAAAATATCGCTTACAACTTTTTGGCGGTTAGAGCTCGATACGTCATTTCTAAACTCTTAGCAAATTGCCACTATGGCACCACACATACTCGTTTTAAGGTGTTCACAATGTCGAACAGGACATACATACGTCGAGTGAAAACCACCTAATAAAATAGTAAAAAGTAAGAAGATACATATGTCTTTGGATTTTCTTCGAGAAGGAAGTATTTTTGTTTTTAGTGGGTTAATGGGTTCAATGAAATCAAGAAGAAATTAACTCGCCTGGCACAATATATTAGGGTTTGGCCTTAGCTTCTGCTCCGAGTGCGCCTCGATGTTGGTACACAAATTGAGGGACCTATAGTTTTACGCCGACTCCGAGTGGCGACGGCTACTAGAAAAAGCTTTTTCTTTTCTTTTGCCTTTGATGTTAGTAAGAAACCGGCCTCGATCCCAGGCCCCGCGGAACGGCCACCTTATTAAGTGGGAAATGAAAAACGTTTGCGCTGACTTCTGCTCCAGCCCGAGACTTGCCGATTGACTACTTTATTAATAATATGAATTTAAAATGAATTCAAGAATACAGCACATACAATTAAGAGGAAGTCCTTTTCAATGAATCCAAGAAGACATTTCATAATATTTAGAAGTATTCCTTTTTAAAAATTGCTATCAAGAATTTTTATTTATGATTTTTAACCGACTTCAAAAAATGAGAATTGAATTGAATTCGTTGGACCACGTGAACCGATTTCAATAATTCTTTTTTTTCAAGAAATGGTGTTGCCTCAAAGATGCTCTCATAGTAATTTGGTTTAGATCCTAAAAAGGTGGTCCTTTATTCGAATTCCGTCAGCCGTAACATCAAAATGATAATATAAAATTTCAAATTTCATTTTATAAGTCCTGAATGCGAAAAAGTATTTATGAAGTGCAGAAAAAAAAATGTATTCAAAGCAGTTTTTGTAAGAAGATTTTTAAATAGAAATTTGTAAAGAAAACAAACTCCCGATTGAGTCGCATGACTTCTGCGCGACTTTACAGCTCACTTAAAGTTAGTTTTTCAGAGCTAATTAAAGGTTAGTAGTTTATCGAAATCCCGCAAAAGAGCTAACTATAAGTTGGATATCAGTTCTATCAATTGATAACACTGATTTACAACAGAAATGCTTAATGGATGCCACTGTCCAATTCCCATATAGATTTGCTCGCTGAGTCGCATGTTACTCAGGCGGGTGTGCGTGGCGTATGTGCATCATTATTTCCTGTCTATGTATATTTCATACAAAAAAATCTTTTATACAATTGGCTGCTGCCAGGAGTGTCCGGGTTCAATTCTCATCAGACGGAACATAAAATTTTAGATTTATTTATTTTTTCTTAATTACGAACAAGCAAAAAAGCCTAAATTCGGATGGAACCGAACATTAGATACCCGGCGCAATTATTAAATTTAGTTTGTTTCACTTTTCCGTAAACTACCGTTACGTGGTAAGCAGCGGTGGATTTATACCTATTTCACACATCTTCGATAAACTTACATAGTTGTATGTGGGCAGTATCACGCACACTTTCCAAAATTCTATAATAATATAACTTCTTTTCCAGGGATTGTTGTTTGTATTAATTTTGAGTAAATTAGCGTCTTTCAATTTCGAAATATCGAAGTTTCAAGCATTTCTGAAATTTGCTGTTATATTTATATGAAAAGAGGACATAATTGTAGTCCGATTTCAATAATTTTAAAGTTTTGCTTTTAAGTGGCAAGTACAATAATCATTCCGAGTTTGGTAGAAATTGATCGAACGGTTACCGAGATACACATACATATGTGGTCATGGAGGGCCCACACCCAATTTCCGTATTTTTTGCTAACGAATTATTGCAAACATCAATTTTGAATAAATTAACTATAATATTTAATGATTTATCGAAGATTTCGTATTTCGCTAAGTAACCGTTACATGGGATGTGGGCGTGGTTATGCTTTGATTTAAAAAATTTTCAGCTGTTTGGTATGTGGTACCAAGGTCAAAAACGGTGCCAAGTTTGGGAGAAATTGGTCTAGCGGCTACCGAGATATACACATGTAAAATTTATAATATTCCTATTTTACGTCTGAAAATCTATTTAAATGTAAATTTTTAGTGAAAAAGATTCAGTAGTTACTATAATATCGCCATTTTCGTATTTCTGAAAATTACCGTTATATGGGAAGTGGGCGTGGTTATGGTCCGATTTCTCCCATTTTCAATACCACCTTTACCTTGGGTAAAGGGCATTGTATATACCAAATTTCGTTGAGATATCTCAATATTTGCTCGAGTTATGGTTTACACGGGCGGACGGACGGACGGACGGCAGATATGTCCTAATTTATTCTGATCATTTATGTATACATTTGTCTATATCTATCTCGATTCGTTTTGGCTGTTACAAATAACCGTTATGTGAACAAAGTCATAATACCCTTGTGCACAAGTGCGCTCGGGTATAAAAAGCTTCTGTGAAGTGTACAACAACATCTATTAAAATGTGCGTACTCAAATTTATTTCGAGTTGGGTTGGTGCTCTTTCATATGCAGATTTTTTTTAAATTTAGCACATTTTTTTAATTTAAAAATTTTTACCTCTGAGTGTACGGAAGATTTAATATAGAAACTTAAGCCAAGTCGTAGATAGTGGATTATCTGAAAACTTCGTGAAATCAGTGAAGTTTGGGTGATTTATTGAGCGCTGAATTTTAAATAGAAAAAAAGTGCACTACTTGTCCTAAATAGCAAAGCCCGACAAATGGTAAAAGTAAATAAAAGTAAGAGTGTTTCACATTGGCTGATGCCGCCGCGCTAAACTTTCGTTGACGAACGGATGCACAAAGCCATCGCCACCACAACAAACATATCAACTGACGTACATGTCGAGAATAAAGGAGAATGCAAAGTACTTAGTTCACTGGAAACTGCAGAATAGGGAAGAGCGCAAGATGGGCAGAAGTGTCAATAAAAATCAAAGCAGCTGCACCAAAAACCACCAATTCAGCGATTTTCACCCCCTTTCTCACCAAAAGGGCTGTGGAGCATAGGCAAATGACAGACCGGCAGCCAGAACACCCGCAAAAAAGAACTGCACACCCATACACTCGCACAAAACAGCAAACATCAGCACACAGCACACAAATGAGCAAGCAATGCGCCGGTGGTGACGCTGATGCAGGCGATTTCTGTGGCGGTTGCATTGATGGACGGATAAATCAACAAGATGACTGCAACAACGGCAATGAAAGACTGGCCAGTAGGTCACATGAGCTGCGCTGCGCCGAAATGCCACAAGTGGTTGCAGTCATACTGTATTTGACTGACAGTGCAAGCTTTTCAGATAATTGTTGCTTGTGCAACTACAACCAGAAATGCAAGAATGCAGTTTACAATCTGTGCTTGATTAAATACCCAAATAAAAGTTTATATGTCTACCCATTCATGCGTACGTATGTATACGAGCATATCCAAGAAGCTCACGGTCTTCCCTCCACAAAGCATTACTGAACAGCTCCCAAGCAAATACAGTGCACATCTCAGGATCAAAACACACAGAGTGCTTCCAGTATTCCAGTTTCTAAAACCGTTAGACGCAACATTTAATTGTCGGTTCTTGGGTTTCGCTTTTCTTAATTACGAAAAAGCATCTGGGAAGTAAAGAATAAAATCCTATTGGAATGAAAAAAGTTACGCATACAAAATAAGTCCTGCTGTGAGCGGTCTCCCGAAGCGGAAACGTAATGCCTTTCAATTTGCTTTTCATTCCCTCTTTTTTCTATTGGGATGTATTATGCCTATAAAAACTAATTTACACATTTGAATTAGGTAATTATCCTAATTTAAGTGAAGTTGGATTTTTTAAACAGGTGGAAACCCTCCTGAGTATATTTCAGAAATAAAACCTTTTCAAAATCATTTAGACGATGCCCATCTTAAACATGTGGCAACCCCGCTAAACATAGTTCAGCAGTAAAGAGTTTTGAAACCCATTCGATTGATACCAATATTTTAATAATTCATTTAACTTATTTAATAATTTGGAACAAATTTTTAGACATGTGGCAACCCTTTACACATCTTTGTATCTTTTTAAAGGTCTATAAATCATATTAAAAATACCATATTTGATTTTTAAAATCCGATGAAAAAAGTCAATATATTATCAAATTTCTGTCGCTAGGTGGAATGGCTCTTTATCCGGACTTCAATAATTGTCATCTTGAAGTATGAAATCTCCAAAATTTAACGTTGCCAGATCTACCAATATTGTTTGTTGAAATATACAAGTAAACATTTCGAAGA